CTTTTCTTAAGAATTAATACAATATCACGCCTAAGGTCGTTAAAATGGATAATAAGATCGCGACTGTTAAGCCTGAAGTAATGCGCTGGCTCTAAGCTAGGGGTATTGCTGTCAAGCCTTTAGCGCCTGACACTTAAGCACAAAACGGCGGCGCTGAACGCTTAGGGGGTGTGAATAAGGAGAAGGCGCGCGCAATGCGGCTAGACGCAAATCTACTATAGGAACTCTAGCTAGAAGTCACGCAAGCCGCGGTATATCTATACAATTGAACGCTGAACTACGTCAACTAGTAAAAGACACCCTATAAAGTCTTCTTCACCCACGTATCCTAGACTAATAGGATAATAACGCCTAAGAAGCCTAGATTAGCTTATCTTAAAGCATATGGGTGCAAGGCGTTTGCTATGACTGACGATACTCACCGCGGCAAATCAAGACTCCAGAGGCTTGATCCTAAAGCCTGGATTGGCTATCTAGTTGGCTATCAGGCGTCGACGATCTATTAAATCTGGATCCCATCACTGGCTAAAGTCATCAGCACTAGAGATGTGATCTTCGACGAAAATACAATATTTGATGGCAAAGTCGAAGACCTAATGGATAGTCTCATGCACAGCACTCTATCAGAGATTGCAGCATACGTCAGGACTATCGAGCTCCCACCGCCGATCCCGGACACTGGGACGGAGTCGTTTCATGAAGACGACACCATTAATACGACAAAAGAGATTGACGAAACAGAAGATCCACCAGGCTACTACATGGGAAGGAAAATTCAGGAGCACTATCCAACGCCGCCAGCCACTCCACCACCAGTGGCGTTACTGGCTCAGCTCATGAGTGGAACGGCAGAAACTACTCCAGAAATCCAATCGTCTAAAACAGTCCCATGGGCCGCAGCTTTTATGGCCGGAACCGAAGCCGGAAGCATTGGAGATCACAATGGCAGCGCGATAGACAAGGCGCAGCTTAGACGGCTGCTCTCCAAAGGAGTCAAAATCCATCAATCCCAGCTCCCTGAGCCGCCGACAGCTAGATCAAACCTAGACGAGCACCCAATGGGCGAGCTATTCAAAGAAGCCCAACGCGCTCATCTAGACAGCCATAAGATCACCAACTCGTGGGTAGAAGTACCATACAAAGCAGTCAAGGCAAGCGGACATTAGATTTTAGACTGCATGTGGGTATTTACCTACAAATTCAATCAAGAAAACCAGTTTCTCAAGTGCAAGGCACGACTAGTGGTTAGAGGCGATCAGCAGCGGAATATTACCTCTCAAGACACCTACGCTGCTACCTTAGCTGGACGATCCTTTCGTCTATTTATGGCTGTTGCGGCTAAATACAATCTTGAAGTTAAGCAGTTTGATGTCACTAACGCGTTCGTGCACGCCCGACTCGATAGAGAAGTGTACATGCGTATGCCCCATGGATATCAGAAGCCAGGTACCATACTCAAGCTCCAAAAGGCACTCTATGGGCTGCGGATATCGCCAGCGTTATGGCAACGAGACTTCACAGCAACGCTCACTAAGCTTGGGTTTCAGACTATAC